ATTTCTGGTGTGTACTCATTTCTTTCTGGATCCAGACCAGAGACCTAAGGCCAGAAATGGCATGATGACGTTTTCTACCGTGCAGTTTTGAAAAAAAAAACGCATATATTTTACATAGATAAATCCCTTCATAAGGTATGGTCTGTAATTTTGAGAACAATTTCTCTTTATTGATTTAAGTCATGGGTTACCAGGAATCCATTTAATGAGTCTATTGGAATCTTTTCCAATCAGTCAACTACAACTGGAATTGTTGATGTCCTCACGTGCTACATTTTTTAGATTTAAGGGCAAAGAATGAAGAATTATTGCAGTAACTAGCAAGGAAAGTTGTGTACATATTTCTAAAAAAAACAAAACAATTACGTCCCAAAACAGCTAATGGTAAGTTTTCGTCGCGTAAACATCAAAGTGTTGTCTCGCAGTATATTCATCTTCTTACTATTATTGGGATGTTTTACAAGGAACACTTCTTTTAAGTTACTGCCATCATTTCAATTCCGAGTGAGAGATTGCTGCCAGGTGATAAAGCGTGCCTGGATGGCATGTTCAATGAATCAAATTAATGGAAACTGGAATTAAATTTGCTGTAATTGGAAATCAAGAAAATTCTTGAAATGCTACAAATATTTTGTTTTTATGCTCAATTTGTTTGCGTTTTTGTCTTATAATAATTCAAGATAACTGAGAAATGGAAGCGATTAACGAAGAAGAAGAAGATGAAGAAGAAGAAGAAGAAAGAGGAGGATGTGTATAAGAAGTAAAACAGAAAATGAGAAATGGTAAGTAAGAATCAAAAGAAAAAAGATGGAGAAGAAAAAGAAAAAAGATGATGAACTAGAAGAAAAGGAGAAAGGATAAAAAAAGAAGAAGAATGAGAAGTAAGGCAGAAAAAGAAAAAGGTAAATAAATCAAGAAGAAAAAGAAGAATTGTAAATAGCAACCAGTAGAAGAAGAAGAAAAAGAAGAAGAAATACTAGTAGTTGTAGTAGTATCTGTGGCATTTAATGATAAAGAGAGGTTAGGAGGAGGAGTGCAGTAAAGGAGGAAGAGGAGGAGGAGATAAGTAGAAGAGGAGAAGGAAGAAGTAGAGAGGAAAAAAGGACGCAAAATCATTGAAAAATATGGGAAAAGAAAAAATGGAGAAGAACAGAAGAAAAAAAATGAGGGGGGGGGAGGAGGAGGAGGAGGAGGAGGAGAAGAAGAAGAAGAAGAAGAAGAAGAAGAAGAAGAAGAAGAAGAAGAAGAAGAAAATCTGTTGTGTGTGTGTGTGTGTGTGTCAAGATAATCAAACGTTCAATTAAATGATAACGATGTTTTCCCAGGCAAATATATTGTATTACGTTAATCAGTTTACGATCTGAATTTAGTGAAAAACGCAAACAGAAAAGCAGCAAAATTTTCTCATTGATTGCTTCAATGAAGACAACGAATAAATTTCTGAGATTTTGATAAAAACAAAAGACAATATTTAAAAAACAACTTAATGTCCGCAAGATCCGAATCGAGACGTCGAATTAAGCAAACAGAAGAGAGACCTGCACTTGTAACGTTCATAGTCCCGTAATCAGGATATAAATCTGTAAAGACTGACCGCAACTTAAAGAGGGTTTTGCCAACGAACTTAACGTCTGAGACGAAGAATTATAATGCTTTACTCGTTTTCTCATCTTCGTTGCTTTTCCTTTAACTGTTTTTATTTTGTTTTGTCATTTGTGGCGGACTATTGCCAAGTTTTGCAATACCTGAAGGTCATAAATGACTCCCAGTTTCAATTAACCTTTCAAAACGTCTTTCCAAATGTCTTCACATTGAACAGTTTAGATCTATGGGTAGACGACGAAAAAACGTGACACAGAAATACGAAGGTGCTCTGGTATAGAAAAAGGTGCCTTCAAGAAACTAAGTATTGAGATAAAGGAAAATATTATTTGAAATAATAAAGAACTCTGGTTAGCTATGTCATATCTTTTGACGAGTATGGCAGTGAATGTTGGACAATTTCCTCACAGAGGAAGGGGAAACTTGTAGTGACAAAAATGTGGTTCTACTCTGGAATACTGAGCATATCAAGGACTGAAAATGCGAGCAACAAGATACCTGGAACGGTTTCTGGTGAGGCACTCGAAATATAACTTCATGGCCTTGAGGATTCTGAATATACCGGGTGTAACATCAAAATTGTCCAAATCGTGTAACAATGTGGGATAAATGCCCATCCCACAAAATATTTAATATCCAAAAGACCACTGAGTTTCCTTTTCACACGTTTTCAGATAAGATGTTTAGCCATCTTGACACCATTTATCGTAAGAATCACAGAAAACCCTTTTGAGTTGTTTAGGTAGAAAGAGAACAGGTTAAAATCTTTTTGTGTCAGCCCCACTATATATAAACAATTGAGCAATGGTGAGAGGAAAAAGGTTATTCAGGCTTTTAGAAATGGTACCAATATTCATATTCTGGCTTCTATCTTCAAAGTCCATTCAAGAGTCACCAAGAGAATGGTGAATAAGTTTAAAAAAAGAAAGAAGAGCAGAAAGAAAAACTGGATCAAGATGTCACAACAAGAAGAGGGATCATCATTTCAAGTTAGAGCTAAATACATTCTTATTGTTCAAAGTAGAGGCCAATGGCTTTATAAATATCTCAGAGAATTCCAGTAAGATATCTTTAATCATTTCTAAGATATAGTGGTTCAAATCTTAATCTAAAAATTGAACAATTTTACTGTGACACGATTTGAACAATGTTGCTCTTACACCCGGTAGTTTTAAGGAAAATACTGTTGTCATATTTGGGCGGGAGCTGCCCAAACCTTACTCTCCAACTTTGATAGAGTTCAAAAGCTTCTCCGGGCTTTTGGTAGTGACGAATTATTCTTCACCCTAAAGTCTCTCTCCCACAGGCTGGATGTAGCAAGCCTCTCGATGTCCTACCTCTACTTCGACGGAAAGTGCTCGGACGAAGTCCATTCCCTTGTCTTACCGAGACAAACCTTTACACCAAGGACACGCCATACCGTTTAAATAGAAGCAAACCACCCACATTCCCTACGTATTCTATCGGTGTGAAGTAAGTTCGACTCAAAAAGCTTCTTCCCGTGAACCCTTGCCCTGTGGAAACGACTCCCAACCGGATGTTTCCCCGATCACAGCAATCTTAACTTGTCCAAGGCTAGGGTTAACCGTTATCTTCGACTCCTATTCACACAACTGACCTCCAAACGTAACCCTCTACTTCGATTGGCCCTCGGATCTTGTAAAGGGTGATCCTCGCTGTTGTGGTAGGATCCACCTAATTTGCATAGTGGAGTACCGACCATATAAATATGGTTGGTACCGGGAAGAGAGGGAGGAATCAAGAGATTCAACCAGAGACTCTGCCCGACTGCGACTCAGTCAACACATTCTCCAGGAACGGTCTTACCAGGAATATACAAAAGACTAGATGTAAATATTGTGTACACTTTCTTGTTTCAATACATTTTGTTCTAAGTACCTTTTGTGTTGCATTATTATTCCATGCATTAGTCAAGTTTCAACACTCGCTATAAAAAAATGGTACTTACAAACAGAAAAACAGACAGTTGAAGCATTTGAGACATAATGAGAATTTGACACTCACATGACACATTCAAAGCAGAGTGAAGCGGGGGTAAACAGGGTGTAAACCACTTAATGGATTTGTGCGGACGTGTGTCACAACTGGAACAGAGAAGGAGAGCAACGGGTCAAATGTCATTAGTGTAACAAAGGGCAAGAAGTTTTGGAAAGATATGACGGCCACATCCTGAAAAGACGAGGCAGATAAAAGAAGTTAGAAACATCGTCTCACATGATTAGGACGAAAAGCGAGAGGAAAAAGAAGAACCTTACCTCAGGAAATTTTTTCTCCCCGGAATCGATACTTCAAATATACAAATCAACCATTCGCCCTTGCATGGAGTATTGCTGCCATATATGGTCTGGGGCATCTTCTGTTTACCTCGGAGTTCTTGACAAGATCCTCAGACGGATATGTAATCTAATTGGCCCTGATCTGGCGTCTCGTCTGCAGTCTCTCACAGACGCGACGTCGCCTCTCTCTGTCTTTTCTACAAATACTTTCATGGTAATTGCTCCGATGAGCTGCTTTCACTGGTTCCCAGACTCCATGAATTCAAGCGCCCTACGAGGCTGGCATCCCGCTCCCACCCTTACACTGTAGAAACTTTTAAATGTAGCCGTCTCTTCTACTCCAATAGCTTCATACCGCGCACCTCTAGCCTGTGGAACACCCTTCCTAACTACTGTTTCCCTGAGAGCTATATTCTCCAACTATTCAAATGTAATGTCAATCGACATCTCCAGTTACCTTGATCTACCCACTATCCTTCTCCTGATCCTTTCTTCTATCTCTCCTATCTGCTCTTGCTCCAAATCTTCTACAACCCCCTGCATCCTAGTGGCTTCACGCCTTGCTCGGGGCGTAATGCTTAAAAAAAAAAGAAGTATATTTCTCATATGAATGTTTGTAAAATTAAGATATTTATTTGTTTCTTTTTCAAGTGAATGTCAAGAGGATGTTTTTTGGATGATCACTGTAATCTTAACCTGTTCAAGACTAGGGTCAATCGTTACCTTTATCTTTCCTATCCGTACAAATTGCCTCCTAACTTAACCCTCTACTTCGAGTGGCCCCCGGGCCTTATACAGAGTAAACCTTGCTGTAAAAAAAAAAAAATAGAAAAAGAAAAAGAAAACGAAAAAAAGCAAATATAACTAGAAAAAAACAAAACAATTGAAGTCTTTGGGACGCATATTGAGAAAAGAGGGCTTGGAGAATTCGACACTCACATGACATATTGAGAGCAAAGAAAAGCGGGTGTAAACAGGGCGTAAACTTCTTAATGGATTTGTGCGGACAGGGACAGAGAAGAAGAGCAAAGGGTCAGATGTCATTAGCGTAACAAAGGACAGGTAGTTTTGGAAAGATATGACGGCCGCACCCTGAAAAGACTAGACAGATAAAAGAAGGTGGAGACATCGTCTCACGAGATTAGGACGGGATGAAAAAGCGAGAGGAAGAAGAAGGGAGACGTAGAGATACGCAGTGAAAAGAGATGTGAGGAATAAGACTAAAAGAGAGAGAAGGTGAAAAGAAAGACGTGATGAGAATAACTGAAAAAGAAAACAGGAAACACGATGAGAATAATAATAATAATAATAATGAGAAGAAGAATAAAACGACGAAGGAGGAGGAGGAGGAGGAGGAGAGGAATAAGAATGAAAGGAAACAGTAAAGCATGAGAAGTAGAAAAAGAAGACGGCAGGCGTAGAGAAAATGAAGACGAAGAAGAAGGAGGAGGAGGAGTAGGAGGAGGAGGAGAAGGGAGGTGTTAAGTGGGAATATGTGGAGAATAAGAATGAAAAGAGAGAAATCGTGAAGAAAAAGAAAGATGCGAAGAGAACAAAATGAAAAAGAAAAGGGGGAGAAATAATAATAATAATAATAAGAAGAAGAATAATCTCTTTCTTATTGACATGGCAGTTCTTGTAGATTGTGATGTATTTTTGCAGATCTTCGAAAAACTATCGAAATACAAGGATCTTGAAGTGAAAATCTAAAAAAAAAAAAAAAAAAAAAAAAAAAATGTGGCATATGAGAACATGAATAATTCCAGTGGAGTTGGAGCCTTCAGAAAGAATGGAAAAGGTTGAAGAGATTCTGGTAGCCAACGCCTTAAGAAAATACCAAAACTTTATTCATATAAAATGTGTGTGGTCTTAATTTTTTTTTGTTTTGCGATTTATTTATTTTTGTTTATTTTTTATAAAAATGATCAGTGGAAAATATCATGAAGCCATTACTGAACTTATGTCTCTGGTTGGGCCCCGGAAGGAAATGCGTATATAATCAAAGGAAGTAATAATAATAATAATAATAATTATAAATACAAAAAAATGTACTCACAAATACAGCCCACACCTTAAGAAGGGCGTTGTCTATGTAAAATATGTTTTTTTTTCGAAGGAAAATGTCATGATGCCATTTCTAACCTTAGGTCCCTGGGCGGGATGCGGAAAACAATCAGAAATCAAAGGAAATATAATAATAATAATAATAATAATAATAATAATAATAATAATAACAAAGATTCTGTGATAAATATCCAGAAACGATTGATCATCTTGTATCAGGTTGTACGGTGTTGGCACCCACTGAATATAAAACCCGACATGACAGAGTGGGCCAATATCTGCACTGGAAAATCTGCAACTTCTACGGGAAGGAAATTGAAAGAAACTGGTATGAACACCACCCAGACCCGGTTACGGAGATAGGACCTGTTACAATTCTATGGGACTACACAATACACACTGACAGAACAATCAAGGCCAACCGGCCTGATAATGTTATTAAAGACCACAAACAAAAACGATGCCTCATTGATATGGCAGTCCCCGCTGAATGCAATGTATCAAGTACAAGGACCTTGAAATAGAAATCTCGAAAATGTGGCATATGGGAACATCAACAATCCCTGTTGTAGTTGGAGCCCTAGGACTGGTTGGAAAAGATTGCAGTAGACTAATTGAAGGGATTCCTGGATCCATGCCTCAAGGAGATACAAAAATTGTTCCAAGTACAGCCCACACCTTACGAAGGGCTTTATCTATGTTTTTTTTTTTTTTTTTTGTCAGTGCAAAGTGTCATGACGCCATTTCTAACCTTAGATACCTGGAAAAAATTGTAAACGCCAGAAATCAAAGAAAATAAAAATAATAATAATAATAATAATAAAAATAATAATAATAATAACATACCATCTACGCCAAACGAAGGACATAAAGCAAAACAACTTTAAATAGAATTACAAAGAAAAAAAAAAATTGCTGGGAGGACAAATCCTTTTGCAAATATCTAAAAAGATCGAAAGAAGCAGACATGGATGAAGAGAAAACATATCAGTGGCTGAGGAGCAGCGTGTTGAAAGCTGAAACAGTTAAGTACCATACGTGATACACGCTTGGGCGATCTTTTGTTACATGACTGAGGAGGCAGTTATTTTCCCGCAGTAGGTTGCCACTTCTTTCTGTGGTAGACTGGTTATCAACCAAAGCTAAATAACCCAGTCTGCCCTGCTATTCAACCCATAGCTGAGGGAGAAGAGATGAATTCATACCTTCCCCAAGGGGATTTGTGCGTAAGTTGTGTTAAAGAACTCGGGTGGAATTTGAACTCAGCTCTCTGAGCCGATATCCATTACACCATAACGCACATCCCCGAAAGCTGAGACAGAAGGCCTAATAATTGCAGCTCAGGATCAAAGCTTCGCAACCAGATCCTAACACTGTCACATCATCAGGGCTGGAACTAACCCGAAATGCAGGATCTTCGGAAAATATGATGAAACTGTCGACCATATTATCTCAGGATGTCCGGAACTAGCAAAAATGATTATATCCACAGACATAGGTATCGACATATGTGCTCTGGAAGATATGCAAGAAACACAATATCGAAACCACTGAGAGATGGTATGAGCATCAACCAGACACAGTTACATAAAATAACGATGTAACTTTCCTCTGGGACATGCCAATTCAAACCGACAAGGAAATAAATGCTAACACGTCTGATATTATCATAAAAGTCAAGAAATTCAGGAATTGTATACTTGTTGACATAGCTGAGAGAAACACTTCCATAAATATTATCGATAAATTGTCGAAATACAAGGACCTGGAGATCGAGATTAACAGGAAGTGGGGGGGATGAACACTGAGACTGTAGCAATAGTAATTGGAGCTCTGGGCCTCGTAAGGAAAGGAATGGACAATTTTAGTAACAGTATCCCAGATAAGATCATCATAAAGGTCGCCCAGAAGATCTCCCTACTAGGAACATTCCATATACTAAGAAAAATGATATCAATTATATGACAATTCTGCTAAAGGGCCTAAGGACCATAGTTTGGACCCGGCTCTACAGGATACAAGACAGGAAGCATAGCATACACAAATACTACTACTACTACTACTACTACTACTAATAATAATAATAATAATAATAAGAAGAAGAAGAACAACAACAACAACAACAATATCAACACCAACGACCAATAGAAAGAAGATAATAGGGAGGAGGAAGAGGAGGAGGAGGAGGAGGAGGAATTGGAGTAGGAGGAGAAGGGAAGTATGCGAAGATGACAAGATCGACAAGAAAGCAGTAAATCTAACAATTCTTTTATGCAAGTAATACCAACTTTCCTTTCCCGCCAACAGGGAATTTATCAGCGCGGCTTGAAAATAACGAATAAGCTTCCGGCCATATTGAAATATCGCATTTCCTATAACAAGGAATGAATTCTGAAAACCAAAGTGCGCCTTACCGATTTTTACAGCGAAAGCCAACAAACAGCTATAATTCAAATTCTGTCATATAACTATATAATCATGGCTGCTTACTCTTTTTCCATTATGCTCATCTGCTAGAGTGACTATCTAATCCCTTTAGCAGACGCCTACTCAGTGACACGCACAGAACTAGACCGCCTCATATGTTGAAATTATGCTATCATTAAATTTTCTAGGGGTGAGGGCATCAACTGGCATGATAAGGATTTTTTTTTTAAATCTTGTACGCTCAAAAACCCGTTGACGACCGTCAATAGCTTGTGAACAGTTTCGTCTACCCGATTTGACTTACACGGCTTGGGTCAACCCCGTGGTATTGTTTTCCCAACAGTCTCACACGCAGGTGTCATCCCTCGATGCCAATATTATTAAAAATGAACTTCTTTTACAAATCGACTTTTTTGAGATTTGAACCAAGGTCTTAATGATTGTAATGCTAACACGTTAACCAGTCGGCTTCGTACTACATTTTGAATTATCCGCTATTTACTTCACGCCATCTTGTATTTTTACACTTTGTAGATGGCGTAATAATCACAAGATATTCTAAAGTTATATAGGGTGGGACAGAGCAAGTCGCTTATCTAAATTTGGCGCCCTAAAGCGATGGTTGCTCCAAGGATAGTAGGTATGGACTTATTTGAGAGGGTGGGGCTTAAAGTTTGGTTCTTAACGTACGTTATTTATTTTTTGTTTATTTTTCAGGAACCCCAGTGAGCATCATGGAGTGGACGAAGTTAGAACGCGCTTTCGCTGTTGAGGCATTTTTTTTTCAAGCGGTCGCTCAATCGTCGCAACGCAACGTGCATTCCGTAGACATTTCAATATTGCGCCCCGTGGTCGTGTTCCTGGCCGGCAGTCGATTGTTTCATGGGTAAACAACTTCAGGGAAACGGGTGATGTAAAGAAAAAGAAACCTGGCCTCCCACAAACAGCAAGGTCAAAACATTGACTCAGTGTATAGAGAAGAATGGACGCCATCTTACAGATATCTATAAAAAGAATACCCGCTCGGCCCGGTGGCTAGGATCAAAGTGTAGTATCTGCGCTTTGTAAGCTGCCGGCTCGGGTGTCTGTCGAACTCTCTGCTTGCAGAGAGGAACCCGGACGAAACTCCGCCGAAGGGTGGGGTTTCGTTGGGGGAGGTTGACGGAACTGGCCCGCCTCGGCGGGTTTGGATGGTTATTTATTTTTGGCTGGGCCTACGGGCTCAGAGATACCCACATTAAAAAGGCCTTGTGCCACATTCGATCCCCGTGGGTGGATTGATAAATACCATCTTACTGATATCATCTTTAAAACTGGTAACAAAATAAAATTTAAATGTTGAACTAGTTGCAGTTCAAAGAATTAGATGTATACCTATACTTGTGTTTTAATTGATATTCCAAATAAGCAAGTTGCTCTGCCCTACCCTGTATAAACGACTCTCCCGTCGTTTTCGACTTATCAGGGTTCAAGAGATCAGTATTTAGTATCGAACGGCTACACTGCCGTTAGTTGTGGTGTTATTAATAATAACTGATGTATTATTGGCTATGATGAACAGTAAAGTTATCTTTAATAATGATCACAACAAGTATTGCCATTAACATAATCACAATCGTTAATAACACGAACGTAGTTACTGCTGTTAAAAATACAATCATTATCGTCATGTCTACAGTTAGAAAATCCAGACCAATGTGTCTACCTGTGTATGTGTCAGTGCGTCTACAAATGTGTGTATGTGTGAGTACAGGTGTGGCGTGTCTGTCGGCGCAAGCAGTCCATCTGGAAAACGTCAACGGCACCCCCACCTGCCCCCTACTAAGAGAACTTTGATGCATATAAATCGCTACAATCTTGACACCGAAATAGACAGAATGAAAATTGCATAAATACGTGTGCTCGTAACAGGAAACAACCTGTCGCCTCTGAGTGTTGACTTCAATGTTCACTTTTATATTTATATTTACATACGTTCTATCTCTTTATTCCATAAATATAGCACACCTTAAAACTATATTTCTTCATATATATATATATATATATATATATATATATATATATATATAATTCTGTTTTGAAAACTCCACAACGACATTCACAATAAATAAAAATTTAAACTGTAT